AAGAAGAAGAAGAAGGAAACGTCTACATTAGCTCACAGTTTTTAGAGATTTGCCTTGGACCTGTGCAATGAATACCCTCAGTCAGTTCCTTCCCACTAGACCTTCCTCGTGGCAGTGCTCAAACAGAACTAGACCACTACATCCTGCTGGTCGGGGTCCTAGAGGTCAGCCTTCTGGAGCATGGAGCTAGTGGGAGAAAGGTGGCGTGTGGTTCAGTAGGAGCCAATAGAAAGTCTGGCATAAGCACTCCCGACTGAAAGGACAGCAGGCTTAGTGTTCCACTCTGCCATTGGGAAGGAACTTGCCTAAAGGATTTGGGGGAACTTCAGGGAATCCATGGAACCCTGGCTCTCAAGGCTGTCTTTTGTCTACAGACAGATGAGCTGCAAGGATCTGTGAAGCAGCTATATGCTTTTATGGATGAAAGTACCCAGTGCCTCCAGAAGGTGTCAGTACAGCTTGGTAAGTGTGTCTCTTGAGACCAAAGCTCAGTTGTTTTAGATGTGTTAGCCTTCGAGAAGCATGTGGTCCTGTGGTTAACACCTATAGGAGATGATTTGTTTTGCTCTCCACAATAAGGAGTGTATTGATGGAAAATTTCTAGACATAAATTCGAAAAGCACAATTAGAATGAGAATTAAATCCCCATGAACTCTTGTTGTTTTAGCAAATCCAAGGCTAAAAATACCCACTATAACAGGGCATGATGGCACAAACCTATAATCCAGCACTCAGGAGGCTAAGGCAGGAGAATCTGCATAAGTTAAAGAACAGTGTGGAATACACAGCCAGTTCCCATCTTCAAAGACAAAAACCTGCTGTCCTTAACCTCTTAAATTTTCAGTCTGCAAACACTGACATAAGTACTTTGTAGCTTTTCCCGACCTCTTCCAGCTCTAAATTACTTGCTACACACGCCTTCATTTTCGTATTGCCTTCATTTTCCTATTGCGTTGTACATAGTAGTACTGCCATCTCCTGGGGATCAGAGACTTAATTTGTCATTGTAATGCCCTTCACCACCTGGCACAGTGCCCACATGTTTTCAATAAATTTTTTGTGAATGCAATTGAAATTCATTTGTTTGGCTCCTTCTGCAGAGAAAAGAAGCATGCAACAATTAGATACTTCACCTGCTCGAAAACTGCTCAGACTTCAGTTACAGAACCCGCCTACCCCTTTCTGCTCCGGATCTTATCAGTGAGCTTGTCTGGCTTTTCCACCACACATGCTCAGAGGGTAAAACTAGGAAGACTTCCTCAGTATGTGGTGACTGCATGGCAGTCTGAGCCAGGCGCTCCATCCTTCGCTTTTAAGGACAACTGCATGGCTGTAGAGCACTTAATCTTTTCTGAGTGATAGAATTTACACATCCAAAAGAACATTGCCAAGACATTTTTCCCAGGAATGTGCAAAATGCTTGAAATTTCCTTGTGAAACAGTCTTCAGAACCCGTGTTTCATTCTTTTTAAGTACTCTTCATGGTCAGATATCTAATCTTGTGGAGATATTTTTCAGGTTTTGAAATAATCCAAATCATTTAGGCCAGGTGTGGTGGTACAAACCTGTAGCCTGTAATCCCAGCACTCCGGAGGCTGAGGGAGGCTGATGTAGGAGGATCATTGCAAGTTTGAGGCCAGCTTGGGCTACAAAGTGAGCTCAAGGCCATCCTGAGCTGAGTAATGAAACCTTGTCTCAGAAAGAAAAAAAAAGCAAAGTCATTTAGGACCAAGTTTAAATGAAACATTTTAGGAGCCAAATTAGGTTCTGGTCAAATAAGAATTAGATTTTTGTAGTCTAATTCTGAAGGTAATTTTAGGTAGAAGAATGCTGAGCATTGTTGGCATTGGTGGGATACATGTATCACTTCAAAGAATGCCCAATTGAAAGAAAATACTAGCCTCAGGTTGCTGTAGTTTGATCCCCAAAACACTTCAGCCAGCCAAACCACCCCTGAGGGCATTCGGAGCAAAAAAAAAAAAAAAAAAAACCCTTATTCCATTGGGGCTGGGGAAATAGCTCAGCACAATAAGCGCTTGCCTGGCAAGCGCAAGGTCCTCAGTTCAATCCCCAGTGCCAAAAAAAATAAATAAAAAAAGAAAGAAAATACTGCTCATGTGCATGTCTTTTTTTTTTTTTAATGCATATGTCTTGATATGTATAGCGTACTTTAGTTTTGAAATTTGAGCTAACTTCAATTCTGAATTCATAGCAAAGAGGGGCTAAGTACTAATTTTCTTTTTGTCTCTACCAAGTTTATTTCAAAGCCTTGAAAAATAAAATATACTCAACTAAATTTCTAAGGGCAACCTAATGATAAGGGTGCTGTGAAAAAAGGCAAAAAAGTAGAATATACTGACTCTACCACAAAGGTAGGAGCCCAGCGTTTCAACTGTAGCTGTGTTTGGCCAGGACTGAACTCTCCTTACAAGATGCCCCGCAGACAGGTGTGTTTGCGCATACCTGCAATCCCTGCACTTAGTAAGTTGAGGCAGAAGGATCACTGAGAATTTGAGGCCAGCCTGATTTCAAGGTCAGTTAGCTGCATAATGAAGCCCTGTTTGGTTTTTTGTTGTTGTTGTTGTTGTTGTTTGTTTGTTTTTAAAGACACTATTCAATCAGCTGGCTTGATGTGCTAGCAGTCACAGGGTGTCAGGAAAAAGAGGTCAACTGTACGAATTGTTTATAAAAGAAAACCTTGGGCCAGGGATATAGCTCAGTGGCATAAGCACCTGCCTGGCAAGCATAAGGTCCCGAGTTCTATCCCCAGTACCAAAAAAGAAAAGGAAAACCTTTCATTTTCTACAAAGCGCTTGTGTGTATGTGTATGCTACTGGAGATTAAACTCCATAGCTTTGCACATGCTAGTTAAGTGCTCTGTTACTGGGCTGTTATCTTCAAGCTTCTAATTGTTCTTTTTATTGCTACTAATCTCCATTATAAAATTACATATAATTAAGATGTTCCCTGTGTTAGTGTTTTGAGTGTATATACTTTTGCAGTGCTGGGAATTGAACACAGGGACCTCAAGCATGATAACAGTGTGCTCTTCCACTGTGCTCTGCCCTTAGCCCCTAACAAAATTTAAAGGCAAAGCAAGTTTAGAAAATAAAGTTCTATACTGAAATAAATAGAGGTGTAAAGATAAGCCTCACCTTCATATAACCAATAAAACACAACTAATTTTTTGTTAATTTTTTCATTAGTAGGCTTCCTACTAATGGGACAAAACCCATTTCATTTAATTTCCTTTTTGCTGTGAGAATATTTGCTGGTTGCATTTATCCCAAGATAACTCATGAATTATGAGGCACGCCATGACATGATAGACACCGAAACCAAAGGAAGACTTTGGAGCGCTTGGCAGCACTCTCTCAGAGAAACTGACGAGAATGCTTGCTGAGTTGAAACAAAACACAACCTTTAAGGTGAAAAACCACAGGGTTGGGGGAGAGAGGGGATTCTTGCAAGGTTTAGTCATTGGTCTTTGTTCCAGTACCTAGGAAGGACATTTGGTAACAGTTAAACCCACTCCTCAGAATGCTGAAGAACACTTCCTAATGTGGGCAAGCAGTTAATTTTATGGTCTGGCATCAGTGGGAGTTCACAGGGAAATTAGGGCTTTTTTGAGGGGAGGGCACGGAACAGGGGATTGAACTCAGGCCCTTGGGCTTGCCAGGGAAGCGCTTATTCCACTGAGCCATCTTCCGGGCCCCAGATTAGGGTTTCTGTAAAATGAAGGTTATAGAACTTGTTAAAAAATGGAATTGGTTAAGCTAGCTTATAATAAATTATATTCTAATCAGACCTCCAAGGCTTGCTACAAACTATCTTGCTTTTGTTTTACCATTACTGTAGTAAATCACTAGTTTTTGGAAGCAAAAGACATGTATTTATAGCATTCTGTTATGGTATTTATATTATAGGTAGCTAAGTTAGATAGAAATACAGTCAGACAGGGCTAGGCCCTCCCAAGAGTCAGTACAAATGATGAAAACACACTGATGCCTGTAATCCCAGCACTCAGGAGGCTGAGGTGGGAGAATCATTGCAAGTTTGAGACCAGCCTAGCCTACAAAGTGAGCTCAAGGCCAGCCTGAACTGCATAGAGAGACCTTGTCTCAAAAAGGCAGACCCAAATTGTAACTGTGGTTAGGAGCACATCTGTTGGAGGTCAAGCCTCAAGATAAAGACAATGACCAGACCTACATGCATCCTAAGGGATAGGATAAGTGGTAACATCTGGTCCAATAAAGTCTAGATAGACATCAGTCACCTCTGTGGGTGGCCAAGACCTGGACCCATCCCTGGGGATGGACTTGGGAGCTTGCGCTAGCCAGGCAGGTACTTAACGCTGCTAACCTATCTCTCTGGTCCAGTTCTTTGTTCTTTCCATGTATACTTGTCTTGTGACTTGGTTCCTTATTGTATCAGTATTTCCTAAGTGGCTATACTAACTGGTTGGTAATAGTTTTGTCCCATGTTGTACCCACCTTGTGATTTTGCTTTGTAAAACTTCCTCTGTAAAGGGGGCTCATTGACACCCCACTCAGGACTCCTGTCTCACAGGAGCTGTCTGTCTCTCAATAAATTTTTCCTACTCTGTTCCTTAGAATTCATTCTTCTATTTTGGGGAACATGAACCCGGTGTATCTGACATCTAGCAGGTTGGGAGTTTATTTCCCCTATGACTTTTGGAGGTCTGATCTTCCTATATCATTTACAGTCACAAAAATAGAGTAATTTTTTTTTTTTTTTAACCAGGGATTGAACTCAGGCCCTTGCGCTTGCCAGGCAAGCGCTTATTGTACTGAGCTATCTCCCCAGCCCCTGGAGTAATTTTTACTCTCTGAAAATGTCATATCCTAGAAGACTGTATTCCTAAGAGAGCATGTTTATGTAAAGGTAAATGAACCCTGGCAATAAGCTGCACTTTTTCCTAAATGGGAAATGGGTTAAACAGCCAGACAAAATCTTAAAAGTACCCTTGGCCCAAGCACCTATCAGTGAGAGGCCATACCTCCTTACACTACACTGTATCCGTTCAGATCTCACCGAGTCCCTGCTGTCAGGCACAGTTCTGCAGTGAACTCAGGCAGGGATCTCCGAGTGATGCGTACAGTCTGCTGAGGACCCTAGGAACACAATCATACAGCTGAGTTGGGAAGGATGAAGAAATCGGTATGTTAGGCAAAAGCAGCACTCCCAAAGGCTCAAGGAGAGAGGAGAATTCTGGAGCACTGAAAAAAGATGAAGGAAGCAGAAATGGTAAGCACCAGTGAAGAGTGCTGAAAATACTTAAAAGGCTTAATAAGCCAGGCATAGTGGTGCATATCTGCAATCCCAGCACATGGAAGCTGAGCCAGCAGGAAGTTTGTTTGTTTTTGTTTTTTGAGATGGTCTCGATATGCAGTTCAAGCTGAATTTGAGTGCTCTATGTAGCTGAGGTTGGGCTTGAACCTACAGCAATCCTGCCTCAGCCTCTGAGTGCTGGGATTTCAGGTGTGGCTAGACAGGAGGATTATTCAGTTTGAGGCCCTTCTGGGCTACATAATAAGACCCTATCTCCAAAAACAAAAAACAAAGAGAGACTGGTAGAGAGACTGGTAGGTACTAAGTGTTGACAGTGGATGAGGGGGTGCAACTACCTGTGTTGCTCATGGAGTCCAGAACATACGTGTATGACCTATGTGTTAAAAACCCAACTCTCCTACTTACCAATTGTGACTGAGAAAGTTAACCTTTCGATCTGTCGAATTAAATGATAGAATTTATAATACAGATACTATAAGGATTCGATTAAACAAATTTAGAACAGTGATAGTAATTTGTTACTGAAGATAAAAGCTTGAACAGCTAATGAGAGTTTTTTTATTTTTTATTTTTATTTTATTTTTTAGCTAATGAGAATTTAACTTGGAATACTAAATGAATTTACACAGACTGTCTGGTACACAGGTAGAAAACTGGGTAGAAAATATCAAACTAGAGGGGCTGGGGAGATAGCCCAGTTGAATGAGTTCAATCCCTGGCTCTGTAAAAAAAAAAAAAAAAAAAAAAAGACTTTGGGGCCCGGGAGATACCTCAGTAGAATAAGCACTTCCCTGACAAGCATAAGGGCCTGAGTTCAATCCCGGGTTCTGCAAAACAAAAAACAAAACAAAACAAAAAAACCCTAGAGATAAAAATTGGTATATCTCACTAGTGAAGACTAAAATGGATGATGCTAAGAACAAGAATGGGAATTTCAGGCTCAAAGCTAATATTCAGGGACTAAGGATACAGCTCAGTGGCACAGTGCTTAACTTAGCACATATGAGCCATGTGTTTTCATCTTCACAATAGAAAGAACAAACAAACAAAAAACACTCAAACATTTAAAAACTAGATGAAGCCCAGACTGGTTAGGGCTTACATCTAGGTGCCGTCGTCCCCCCCCCCCCAGGTTTCATGCACTCATAAGTGGGGCTTTAGAAAGGTGACTGGATCATGGTGTGTAATACTGGATTAGTCCACTAATGAGTTTATAGCTGGGTAGGAGGTGAAACCTGGAGCAAAGGGACCTGGAACGCGCTATTTCCCTTCCCTCTTTTTTTTTTTTTTTTTTTTTTTTTGCGGAACCAGGGATTGAACTCAGGCCCTTGGGCTTGCCAGGGAAGCGCTTATTCTACTGAGCCATCTCCCCCGCCCCTTCCCTTCCCTCTTGATGGCTGCTGCTGACTGCTTGCCACGCCCTGAGTTCTTTCTCTCCTGCCATGTACCTCTGCCCTGGCACCCCGCCTTGGAGCCAGTAGAGAGTATGGATTAAAACCTCTACAAATTGTGAGCCAACATAAACTTTCTTCTTTAAGTTGTGGATGCTGGGTTTTTGTCCCAGCAATAAGAAACTAAGAGGCCGAGGCAGGAGGATCTTGAGTATAAGGCCATCCAGGGCTACATAACAAGCCCTGTTTCAGGATATAAAGAATGGTGTTAATTGCCTACTGTTTCAGAAGCATGGTATAATGGAAAGTTTAGAATGAATCTAGATCTCATTAATATCTCCTTTTGTAAAATGAGGACAGATGACCTCTCTTCAAAGGTTATAATTTTACCTAATTATTACATTATATTGCAAATTTTGTTAATGAGTATTTGCACTTGAGGATGGAAATGTTTGGTGTTTTCAGCTGAACAGGGTAGAACATAGAAAAGTAACACTTACTGAGTCCTAAACATTGTTCAGTCCCTATCAGAAGTTTATGAAATAGGGGGACAACCTGCTCAGGCCCCCCTCCTGTCCCTCTCTCAGACAAGAACTTTCTTTCCCTCAATAAATATATTCTGCTCATTAAAAAAAATTTTTTTATGAAATAGCCAAGCTGTAGTTCACTCCTGTAATCCCAGCACTTGGGAGGCTGAGGCAGGAGGATTGCCTCCTGAGTTCGGGACTAACCTGGGCTAAATAGCAAGTGTAGAATATATATCTCAGTCTATGGTAATACCACTCTTCTTTTTTTTTTTTTGGGGGGGGGCAGAACCAGGGATTGAACTCAGGCCCTTGCACTTGTCAGGCAAGCGCTTATTCTACTGAGCCATCTACCCAGCCCCAGTAATACCACTCTTAATGTGCTCGACCTCAACTATATGTCTCAAAGCAAAACAAAACACCTTTATGAGATAGTTTCTATTTTGTCAATATAGATGAACAATTCAGGGACAAGGCGGCTTAATCATTAGTCAAGAGTATCACATAGGGGATACTAAAAGGCTGTGCCTAGGTAGTTTTTCATCTACCCAGATTTGATTTAGGAGTTGTGCCTGAGGAATAACAAATTGCTGCCCTCTGAGATGTTTGGTTGCATTTATTCCATATGATCTAATTTAGTTAAGAGAATAACCCTTAGTAATACTTAATTTTAAAGAGACAACAGATTACCTAATATGCTCTTTAGAGGAAGAGGCTATGTCCTGTGTATTTCGGTGTTGATTGTTGGGTTATTAAGCTTAGTGTGTAGGCTGATGAGCGGAGGAATCCACCTCGGCTGCACTCAAGAAAGCAAATCTGGTTGCTGGTCGTTATGGAACCATAGCGGGGGGAGGCGGTACAGTATAGACGAGGACTAACAGGATCTTTGAGACCAGGCTCCAGATCATAGGGAGATTCGGTCTCAGAAAAAGAAAAGAAAAAAGGCTAGGAATTAGGAACTTCGTGTCTCGAATTCGAGTTCTCCAGTTACTGTGCTCATCCACATGGAACCAACCCTCCCCGTGCAAGCGCTGTGCTAGCTGCCATCTGACCTTGCGTCAGACGTCAGACGTTAACTGGATGCGGGGTCCTGCAAGGGAATATCTTGGGGGATTCCGAGTGGGCGACTCAAGGAGAAAAGAGGATCTACAGACGCCGCACTCAATGCCCCTCCCTCCCGGCAACCCTGACCCGGAGTTTCTCCCTCAAAGAAAACCACACCCATCATGGCGCCCGGCCCCCTCCCGGCCCCGCCCCCGCCCGGCCCCGCCCCCGCCCGGCCGCCATCTTCTCGGTAGTTCCCAGCCGGGCAGGCGCAGCGCGCCTGCGCAGCCCGCGTGTCCTCAGCGCGCCTGCTCGCCGCAGACGCTCCCCTGCCCTGCTCTCGCGGCCGCTGCTGCTGCCGCTGCTGCTGCTGCACTGACGGCCGTCGCCCGCGCTTCAGGTGAGTGAGCGCTTCGGCTCCCGGGTGCGCGGCGTCGCATGCGGGGGCGTCGCTCCTCCCTGGCCTTCCTGGAGGTCTTTTGCGCTCCGCGGGCCTCGGGGTCACGCCGCCAGCCTCCTCCGGGCCCCCGACGCCCTCCGCCCCGCCCGATCGTGTGGGGTCGTCTCGGCTGGAGCCGGCCGCCTGCAGCGCGCGGGAGCCGGGGGTCGAGCCTCGCTCGGGTCGCCGCGCAGCGTCCTAGGGACCCCTACGGGCATCGCGCCTTTCCTCCTCCCGCTCTGCAGGTGGCGGAGCTGCGCGGTCCTCGGGCCGGGCATCCGTCTGCACCCGCGGCGCGGGAGCCCGGGGGCCGGGAAGAGGGGCCTGCGCTCATTTTGCGCCGTGCGGCCGCGAGGCAGCGGAGCGCACTTGGGGCCCTGCGACCACCCTGCGGGGAGAGTCTCTTAGCCCCACTTTATAGCCGAGGAAACTGAGGCTTGGAGAGGTGAAGTGCCTTGTCCAAGGTCACGGGGCTGACAAGTGGTGGCACCGCTGCCTGGCGAGCTCGAGGTCTTGGGCGCTCCGGGCCAGTGCAGTTGGAATTGGATTTTGTTCCATCATAAATTTTTGGAAATATACTTGTCATCTCTAGAGTTGCTCTAAATGTCATACAAGTGGACTGTGAAAAGAATAGCTTCTGGGTACAAATGAGATGTTAACCATAACAATAGTAATGATATTAATAAGAACTGATGATCCTCCAGCGCTTTTTTTTGTGTCCACAGTCTTGCGAAGCATTTTAAGATCAGGCTCACTAGTTACTTGAATGTGTACCGATCCGGACCTTTCCCTTTCCTCTGCACGAAGCCTTTTCCTGCGGAGCTGGCCTCCCTTCGCAGGTAGCCTAGGAGCTTCCTGGATTAGGAGGTGGGGAACTCTGCCGTGGTGGCTTAGCGGCAGAGCAGGGTAAGCCTTGTCTGTCCAGATTTCCCCTCAATCCTGGCTTCTCAGCGTATAATTAGACTGCCTTTCCTATCTGCCAGGGCAGTGAGACCAGAGTAGCTGGGCTGGCTGGACTTGGAGGTGACAGAGCAGATTTGGCGAGGACACATTTTGGGACTTTCTGGCTCTGCTCCATGGTTGGACTTTAACAATTTAATATTTAAAAGATAAAGGCAGGGGAGATAGCTCAGGAGCATAAGCACCTGCCTGGCAAGTGCAAGGTCCTGAGTTCAATCCCTGGTACACCACACACACACACACACACACACACACAGATAAAGTAAAAAGAGAAGACATTGACACAGTGGTGCTGAATCTTAAAGTCTCCCTTAATTTGAAGTCCTAAATGAACAGCTATAAAAGGATATAAATGTTTTGCCCCAAAAATAACTAGTTGAAACTATCTTTTCTCCCTTGGCTTATTCTCCTCTGCACTTCAGAGGTGGCTCCCCTTCTTTAGAACAGAACACTTTCCCTGCTGGATTTCCCCAGTTACAGTTAAACACATAGAACAGCGTAGAGGCCTCCTTCCTACCCCCAAGACTGTTAGCCCCTTGAGGTCAGGGACTGTCTTTGCAGCCCCAAGTTCTTGGCTCACACTGGACCCTTGTTCAGTGAATTTCCACTCCTCCTTTTCATTACTGAAATGGCAGTGTTCTCTTGGTGCCCTTCCATTCTTCCTCTTGCCCTTTAGTTTCTCTTTGCTGTCCCTTTGCTGTGTGTTTTTGATCATCACCTAGCACATAAAGGCTTCTGGCCACCCTATTGTTTCTGAAAATTTGAAGAGCAGGGTCTTGTATCAAGGAGCCCTGTCATCCCCAGTAGTGGGGTTGGTGTGTGTCACTTAAGCCTCCAGGGAGCTTTTGTGTGTTCCTGTGGTGGTCTGAGGCACACGGCCTTTTAGTCTGTTCTTAAGCTTGACCTATCCCTAAACGCAGTTTTACATCTTTTTGCCTTAAGTGGCTGACAGTCCCTGATGAAGGCTGGGAGGAAGTCTGGGTGCCATTAGGCAAGATTCACCCTGTTCTGCTCTGATGATGTCATAGTCCCAGTTTTTACCATCTATCAATGTATGGTATTTTGAAAAATTTAATTAGTGCATGTGCTTAGTGCATGATGTTTGCATTCCTTGGAGGTAATCAGCACATACTTATCACATCTCAATTCCCTTTCTCTTCCCTCCCTCTCCCTCCACCATCCCCTTGATCATCTTCCTTTTTTTTTTTTTTTTTTTGGTACGTGTTTGCAGTCCATTAATGTTCACATTACTTGTGCAATGTTGGTACATGTACATAACATACCTTAGGGCTTTTGTTCAGCTGGCCTCAAACTCGTGGAAATCCTTCTCTTTAGCTTCTTGAGCATTGGGCTCACATGTTTGCGTCACTACACCTGGCCTGAGGAATCTACTTTGTCCTTTATACCTTTCTGTATTATTTTTGCACTGCACACATAACTGCTTTTGTATTTTAGAAAAGAAAAAGATAGATGCTAAAACAACCTTTTTGAAGATGTAAAATATTTATAGATTTGAAATAATTTACTAATCTAGCCATATAGCAAACGTAACTGTTATATGTCACATCCTGCTAGCTTGTGGAAGTACAAAGCCTTTGCTGAAGCTTGCAGGCAGGTGATCAAGATTAATAGATAAGAGCTCTAGTTAGTGTCCCATGAGCCTCCTAAGAGCAAGGACAAGGTCTAGATGGGCTAGTAATAGGCACTTGGTAAATGATGAATGAATGAGCAGTTCAGCCCAGAAGTGAGGGCAGCAGGAAGGAAAAGCCAAGTGGGAGATAGTGGTGGCAGAGGGCGTGGGTTGACAGGCTCGGATAGGGAGGAGGAAAGGAGAGGAAACGTCTGGAAGGCCTCTGAAGTCTAAGAATTGATAATATTTTCGGTTTAGTGCAGAATAGGATCTCAAGTCAGTTGTTCCCTTTTTAAGAGACTGCCTGAAAAGGCACACAAAAACTACCTAGGTTGAGTGTTAACATTTATCAGGTTTCAGTACTTTCTTTGTAAAGTGAAAAATATCTTTTCTTTCTTTAATGATAGGGCTAATTATATTGAACTTATAATACTTACCTGCAATGTTGGCTCTTATTTGTTCATGTGAAATTCTTAATATGGATGCTGTGGCAGGGGTGTCACAAGTTCAAGTCCAGTCCAGGGAACTTAGTAAAACTCTGTCTCCAAAACTAGCTGGCTTCAAGTGATGAAAGTTAACAGACTCCAGATACCAATGACTCAGGTTTATATCCTTGCTTTACTACTCACCAGCTGTGTGGCTTTTGGCAAATTACAAAGCCTCAGGCCAGGGAGATGGCTCAGTAGAATAAGCACTTGCCTGGCAAGTGCGAGGACCTGAGTTCAATCCCCGGTTCTGGAAAAAAAAAAAAAAAAAAAAATTGAAAAGCTTCTGCAAGCCTCAGATTCTTCACCTGTACAATGGGCAAATTACAGTACCTAGTTATAAGTGTGCTGGGAAATAAAATGAAATAAGGAGTGGGTAAACTACTAGTCACTGTACCTGCTGTACTGTGAACACTCAGTAAATTGGGCCAGTGAGAGTAATAAGTGAGTTGTGTTCTTTTGGGCTTTTGCTTGGCCTTTACGTCATTCAGACTATCTTAAAGAGTAATCTATTTTAAGGAATTCTGCTGGTGGGAAACTAGAACTCTTCCAAGAGCTCGTGTCAGGACTTTGGCAGTGGTAGCTTTTCTAGTGTCCTAAGCTACATGCTTCAAGACTGGAAGGCAGGTTCTGTTGCTGGTTATGACAGGGGTCACCATGTGAGAGGTTCAGCTAGCTGATTGTCTAAGATTAGCAAGAAGTCTCTTGGGTGGGATTTGCTTAGTTATCTGTTCCAAGACTCTAGACTAAATCAAATGAATATACAGAGTAGATTCAGTTTCCCAACTTTTCAGTGTCTGCAAACCTCCTGTTTATTACCTGCTGCCAGAAGAACTTAGGTATGACACAGCAGGAAGGCTTGCCTTCTTGGAAGGAGGGAGGGGGGCCCTTATCCTCGGCTGAGATGAACAGAAGTCTTGCCATTAACCGGAGGATCCGTGAGCTTGCCTGAGCAACCGCCCACACAGATCCTGCCCTTCGCTTGGGTAGGTAGGGAATAGCATCTCTGAATAGCACCTCTTCTGGTAAAGAGGTACCCAGATTTTCCTTTATGCAGAAAAAGCTGAATGAGCGATAGTTTTTATTTTATTTATGTGTGTGTGTGTGTGTGTGTGTGTGTGTGTGTGGCCAGCTCAGCCCACCAGGGGGCGGGGCTAGCTGGCATGTGGTGCTGGGGGATTGAACTGTGGTCCCTGTGCTTTGCTAAGCTTGTTCTAAGTAGGTGCTTTAGACCACTGAGCCATCTCACCAGCCCTGAGCGATAGTTTTTAGAAACTCATCCTTTCTTCCATGGAGCTGGTTGGTTTTGTTTACCAGGCTTCCTGGGCAGTCTCCTGAGATCCTTTGTTTCCTAAGGGGCCCCTGGAGACAACAGTGAAACTAACATCCATTACTCTAGACAATTGAATGTTAGCTTAAGTCAGTTGTTTCATGATTAGGTTAATTGAGGCATTAACCATGACAACATTTAAGAGCCGTGTAGACAGTTGTGCTTCTTAGGGACAGAAATATGGAATCCAGCCCAGTACTAGATATCTTTCAGGATCTTGGCTCCAAATCCAGATGCTGGTGTCAGCTCCTCTCCCAGTCCACTGTGTGAGTTTAGGCAAATGGCTTAAATTTGGGGCACCTTTTTCCTTATGGGAGTATGAGGACATTCCTTGAGACTAACAGTTCTTAACCCTAGCTGCATTTAAGAATTACCTGTGAGGCTTTAAAAATAAGCGTGCCTCTGATCCCAGCATTCAGGAGACTCACGAAGGATTGAGGGTTCAAGTCCACACTCTACTACAAATTAAAACTCGATCTCACAAAAGAAAAATTCCTGGCACTCTGGAGGCTGAGGCATGAGGATCACTGTGAGTTTGAGGGTAGCCAGGGCTACA